ATTAAGTTTTTTTCAAAAAATTTATATTAAATTAGCATAATATCTTTAATAATTATTTACAAAAAAAAAAATTATTATTATTATTATTTTGATATTATTTACTCCTTAAAATTAAAATTATACGGTCACATATTTTTTAAAATCCAAAATCTGAAATCCAAAATATAATTCCAGCCAAAATTAACGTAATTTCACTTAAACATGTAATTTCAACCGAAAATCATAATTCACCTAAAACGAACAGGGTGGACATGCATTATATCATAATGTCGATCACTTGTATAAGTGATATCATGTTAAATTTAAAGCTTTATTTCAAGCAATAAATGTTCTGATAATTTATGTTAAATTATTTTATTTAATAGTTTCATTTATCAATAATTTAATATAAAAGTATTGTGGAAAAATAAGGTGTGTTTCCAAAGTTAGATTTTACGTCACATTTTCAATAATTAATATATATGCTATATATATGCCAATCATCTGCTAATCTGACTTTGAAACTTCGGGCAAAGCCACAGATCTTCGGGCAAAACTTAAAACTTTTACAGTATATTATTTAGGTATTCAAGAATCAATGGCTAAAATAAACCTGAAAAATTTTTAATAACCCAAAAGTTATCATTAAATAAATGTTTACAATTATTGTAAAATTGATATATGTTTGATATTTGACAAAATCTTTATGAATTATTTTAAGAACTAATTTATTAACAATAAATAAATAAAGTAAATAAAATTGAAATTTTATACATTATTATGTAGAATTTGTGAAAAACTAATTCAACGGTATTTTTTTGTGATAATATTGGACGAGTGATTGGCAAAATGATCGGCAATATCATGATAATATAGGGATGTCCGTCCTGTTCCCAAAACGGTGTCGTCTAAAGCCGTGTTCGATCATGTAACTGGCATTTTATAAATAAACCATTTTTTTATGAACTAAGATTAATGTAAGTATGAAGGTTATAAAATAAGTGTATTTTGGCCTGCTTTACAAGTTTACTTAGTGAAAAAAAGCTGGTTTTAAACACTGTTTTTGACTTTACATATGAACGAATAATCTTTGCCCTTCATATTTAAAAATGGATGACAAAAATGAAAAAATTCAAATAAGTGGTACTTTTTTGTAATACCGTCCTTCTGAGTTCCGCAATCTTTGTAGGTTGTTTTTTCTTTGAATAAAACTGTGTAGCCTGTATCTGAGCTTCATCCTCTTCTATCGGTTTGTTCTTCACTATTCCTTCTAAAGGATTTAACCTTGTCTTGCTCCTCGTAGTTCTAGTGGCAGGATAAGTTTCTAATAATGTGAGATTCGAGGGAATTATATGTTAACTTGTACTCTCACCCTCATGAGGTACGCCTTCTAGTTTAAAGATTGATCCTTATCAGTTTCTTGTGGGATTAATTGGGCTAGCGATTGTTGTATTTGTGTGAGTTGATTATTATTGGAATTGCCCACATTAGTTGATTGAGGATTAGATTTTTCTTCACCATTGTTCACAACTGGTGTCGTATTGTTATTTCGATCAGGACAATTCTTTACTATGTGCCCAGGCTGTCCATAAGAGTAATAAACGATTCTTCTATTTAACGATTATTGCAGCTGCGGCGTTACTTGCTGCGGATTTTGATAATTGCTTCCCTATATTCCTTTGTTCTGGTACTCAACTGTTGTACCTGTCTAGTCAAATCCTGAATGGCTTTGTATAGGTCTTCCGTTTAAGTATTAGTGTCTGCAGAAGCGAATTTATTAAGATAGGCATTTACCGCATGTTGGTCTTGATGGGTTAACTCATAGGCCTTTGCTCTGTCTACTGCGGCATTCCAGGTTTGATCATTATGTGGTTTTACAGTGAAGTACAAGTCAGGCAACAACCTGTTTACAAATTTACGAGCTTTAAGGGTAGGGTTCATCCCTTTATATGAATATATGGGTTTTATATGGCGAAATCTATGTCGATCATTTATTAATATCACGTGATGCCAAAAGAACTCTGTTAATTGCAAAAAAAAATTAATATTTTATTAACTACCTAATATATTTTATTAAATTTATATTCAAAAAGAAGATATATAACCACTCCAATAATAAAAAAAATTTTTTAATCACTTAATATTAATATTTCTAAATAATATATGTAAATAAATTTAAAGAAAATAAATAATTTTATTCAAATATTGAAAACTTAATATCTTCAACATACATAACTTTTACTTGCAGAATCTCTTACTTTTGTTCTTTAATTTCATTATGAAATCACAAGATTCTAATCATTACTTCACAAAATATTTGATATTTTATATCTAAATAGTAATATAAAGAATATATGAACACTAAAAAAAATTAAATGATATTAATAATAAGTTTTATTTAATTATTGAATTCTTAATAAAATTTTTGATAAATTTACTACTATAAATGCACTATTTGCGAAGTATCAGAAAGTTTTAAATAATTTGAAGATAGGGTATTTAGCAGATTCGCAACTTACCTTAGAGGATTCGCAGTTTCTCACAACTTTTAACTTACTTTTTGGTTTAATTTTATGAATAAACTGTAACAAAAACTATACTATTTGATAGACCTTAACTCTAAAAACCAAAAAGCAAAGTTTTGTTCAAGTTTTGTGGGTCAAAAAATTTTTTTACTTGTAACGAATCTAGATTTGACGATTTTTGCCATGATCTTCATATGATCATGTAACTTGGCATATCATACCCTTAATAGCTTCTGGATATGCGAAGGCGTTAGTCTCCACCCTTCTATACAATTCTTGTAGAGCAGCGGCATATGTGTTTACGTCTTCACCGGGCTGCTGTCTTCTTTGTTCCAATTCTGTGGTCCAGATTTCGATTAAGGTTTGCATTCTGAAGGCGGCAGGGAAATTCAATATAAAATCTGTATTATTATTGTTGCCAGTCCACGTAACAATCTTATTCGGATTATTATTTGGAAGTGCTTGATTGGCATTTCACCAAGTAGAAGCAGCTCCCTTTAGGTATGCTGATACGACTTCCAATTTTCGTACATTTGCAATACCATTTGCATTACAGGATCTAGTAAAATCCTCCAACCATGCAACCGGATCCTGGTTGCCACCATAGAAGTATGGCAACTCAGCCACCCTTCCTTCTCTACGTGGAGGGTTATTAATTGCTTGTGTGTTTACAACCAATGCATTGTTAGTATTAGGCAATGCTTGGGTCAAGGCAGCTATGGTGGCTCGTAGTTGCTGGAAATCCTGCTGGTTAGGTTGAGCCATATTAATTACCGGTGGGATTACTGGAGCTGGGTTATTCGGTGTGTTGTATATGGGGGGTAGAGGAATATGCAAATGGGGAATATCTTCCTCAGAAATCTCTGATGTGGTGTCACTTAAAACTTCAGGTTCTGGTGAGGTGATAGTCTCACTAACTTGATAGAGGACTTCATTAGGGTCCTGTTGAAATCCATTAGTTAGATTGTAGGCATTGATAAGGTCTTGTCGCAAAAGTGTATAATCTATTGGTTCTATGTCAGTGTATTGGATACTGAACAATAGATTATGTATGGCGTTGTCAATATCCGCGTTAGTAATTGAATAAGCAACCTCTTCAAAATATTGTCGAGTGTATCGGGTGTATTCTATAACAGGATAGTTAGAAGAAATCCAATCCAAAAAGTGTTGAAAGGTGGGGGTTAAGGGAATTTCAGATGGATAACAATTATTACACAATAAATCACGATGATAAGCGGCTATGTTATTTAGCCCTAATTGTCTATGTATAGCGTCGTGTATAGCGTTGCGATTGAAATGGTTTTGGAACATAAAAGGGAACTAAAAATAGGAAATCGGGATTCTGGCAGAAGGCACCAATTGTTAAGCCAGTTCTTGTGTGCTTATAAAAAATAAGCGTATGGGTGTATGGTAAGCAGAAGGAATTATAAGAAAAATAAATATTAATTAACGTGTAGTGAAATAAACTATATGAAAATATTAGTAGATGTATCACTGTCGATCAATTTACGAAGGTGATACGAACAAATAATTGTAAATTTGCTCAAATGCGAATACGGTATTGCACTCACTGGCAAATACACTCAGACGCAATTATCGATTTTACAAATATAACAAACACTAAATAAACAATGAGATAATTCTTTTAATGAATGGTTTTATTAATTCAAGACACATTATCTACTTTTTTTACATTGACTTGGAACACATATTTATAATAAAAAAAATCTATGCTAATCATGTTAAACATATTAATTATGTGTTATATGTTAAACATGTTAAATATGTGCAATATGTTACATATGTTACATATGTTAAACATGTTAAACATTCGTAACATTTGCAACATTCGTAACATGATTGTCGGTCACAAGATCATTCAACTAACACATAGGTCACGTGATTATTCGATTAACTACAAAATTCAATGACAAAATGCCACATGCATATAATTCAATAATAAGCCATGAAATTCGTTTGCAAAAAAGTAATCATACTATGCTACAAAATTCAATAACAAAATGCCACATGCATATAATTCAATGATAAGCCACGAAATTTAATTGCAAAAAAGTAATCATACGATGTTATAAAATTCAATAACAAAATGCATATAATTCAATAATAAGCCACGAAAATTCAATAACAAAATGCCACACGCATATAATTCAATGATAAGCCATGAAATTCGTTTGCAAAAGAGTAATCATACAATGCTACAAAATTCAATAACAAAATGCCTCATGCATATAATTCAATAATAAGCCACGAAAATTCAATAACAAAATGCCACACGCATATAATTCAATGATAAGCCATGAAATTCGTTTGCAAAAAAGTAATCATACAATGCTACAAAATTCAATAACAAAATGGCATATAGTTTAATGATAAGCCACGAAATTCAATCTCAAAATTCGATAACCCACAAGACCATTAAAAATTTCTTATATAAATCGTCGTTCCCTTCCCCTTAACCCAAGAAATCCTATTATTAAAAACATTATTAAAACAAAAAAAAATGAAGTTTCAATATATCTTCTTATTAATCATTGTTTTCTTAACTTATGTTCAAGCTAAAAGTTGCCCCATTCGTAAGTTTATTACAAACCTTGCTAATTTGTTCAGTTCTATAACTTTCACATAATTAAATCATCATGCTATTTTTTTATTTAGAAATTACTGGCAGCAAGTGGGCTAGTACAACCGGAGGCAATCCTGGTTGTTATGGACTAAACGTCCCCGGAGCTTACAAAGTCGCTACACCTCCTGGATGCTGTTACCAATTTTTCGACGATTTTGGCTGCAAGGGTAAAAGGCTTGGTGTTGTGCATTGTGGTAATAGCAATTTTCCTCCAATTTCGCCTAAATCAGTCACAATTTGGTGATAATTTTTTGGTACACATTTACATAGTTTTCAGTCTGGTAATACATATATAATCAGTTATCTATTGATTTTCTATTAATGTATATATTAGAGGTTGAAATAGAATTTTTTTTAACAGTCCTATTATTGTTTGATTTTGATACTATGAAATAAATAAATAAATCTTTTTAGCAATTAAATGTGCCGAGAAAAACTCATTATCATATTGTTGCCTAGTATATAATTTTTAAAAAAAATGATCTGTATATTAATTGAAACAATGAATATGTATCATGCCCTAGAAATAACCGAAATATTTGAGGTTATCTTTGCATTTTTTAGTAGGAAAAACCTCTATAGGAGTTGCACCACAGTAAATAGGCAATGGAATTCCATGTCTATGTGTGTTATTCAGAAGAAAAGAAAAAGTGAGTTTATTAGCATCTCCCGTATTCGTGATAACATTATCCTTCATCTATATGATGATCGTAATGCAGACTTCCGTAGTCTAGACCCGTTACTCCCACGCTTATCTCGTTTTCTCAAATGCAAATGTAATTAATAAATATTAATATCACTTGTAAAACACACAACACGTTTAAAAAATCAAAGTAAAAGCTTTATTATATTTTTGTAAAGTAATAGACATCTTGTTTTCAATGTAAGCTTTTATAATTAAATATATTTAAATTATTAACAAGCACAATGCGCAAAATATATCATTTATTATACATATTCTTGTTAAAAAGTTTTTTGACTCGAGTTTTCAATAAAAATGATATCATATATATATGTTAGTATTAAAAATTATTTCAACTATGCAATAAATTAAAGAAAAAATAATAAATTATAATAAAAATGTAATAACGTACTTTTCCAAGACAAAAGGATTTTATATATTATTAGTGAAATATCACATCCGATCTCATGTGAATATGGTATTGCAGAATTTTTTTATTACCTCTTTAAGAGAAAACAATATTAGTTAAATGTTGATATTATAATCTTCACTTCGAAGAGCTATCATTAAGATGTATACTAACTTTTATTATACTGTATATCCTTATAGAATCACGCTGTGAATAACTTTATTGATGATATATATAATAAATGAATGCCAAATCATTACAAGCAAATATATTCTATTTCAGCAAATTGATGGCTAACCTTATAACATTGCGAATATCGCTAATTATAAATTTATATTATCGCTGTTTTCAAATTAATGCGACCTCCTTCATGTCACCCCCTGAGAAAATCAGTTTTCGTAAATGTGGAAAACCCGGAATTTTTGTAGAAAAGGTCCGATTGCTAGTGATTTTCAGAGGAAATCTCAGGAAAATTTCAAATTATTCAAATAGTTTGCTTATAAGTGAATGATAAAACTTTGTGTAATATAAACACTTTTTTATAAGCAAACTATCTTTATAACCGAAAATTTCCTCTGGAAATCGCCAATAATTGATCCTTTCCCACATAGTTATTCAGGAAAATTCCGGGTTTACAAATTTTTGGAAATCGATTTCCTTAGGGGGTGACACGCAGGGGGTCGCACTAATTTGAAAACGGTGATAATAAACGGCCACAATTGCTTTACGTTCTGAAATCGTCAGCGTCTCAGATATTTAATTGAATTGCTTATCTGATTGGTGATGATAACGAGAAATTAACTTTAAATCAAAGACAGTCAGACGTTAAAGAATCTTACGCTGCATTGCAAGTTCGGCATCCTCAAAAATAATTTTGAAGGTAAGAATAGGAAAGTTATGCCATGAACTTCTTTTAACGTTAGGGATGGAAAAGGTTCTGGTTGAGTATTCCCCTCCGAGTATGATTCCTATTAACATTCAAATAATTAGTCACTTAAGCTTATCTTTGAGTTTAAAATAATTGAAAATGACGAATTGACATTTCCTACACTGCGCCACCTGTTAATACATATTCTTGATATCACATGTTCTAAGGATTTCGCGAAAAGTTATGATTATGGTTTTCTTTAAAAAAATAAATTGGAAGATTTTATAAGATTTTTAGAATTCGTATAAGAATCTTTCTCCGGCTAAATTCATATTAATGAATGTACAACAAGTTTTGATTTATGTGATAGATCAAAAATTCTTTGGAGATAAATTTGTTGAATATGACACAAACTAAATAATGGAATTTTATTCCTTATGATAAACTTGTCTTTTTAATAAAATTCATAAGGCTATTTTGACGACCCAATAAATTGGAATAATGAATCTTTTTACTAGTACTGATTTTTGTTGATCGAAACAAAAAAACTTATCGAAATATTTTATAAAATTAATATAAATATTTCAACACTCATTTTATATAGATAAATACGGTCTATATAATGAAATCATCATTAATAGAGATAGTGAGATACGGTTTAGTACTAAAATTTATAATATACTGTATGTTTACCATTTTAAAAAATGGCATTAACTATTTTTGATTGATCATGATTTTGTAATTTAAGGCACATCAATGAGCTCGATTATTTATTATTGTAGCAATCATTTAACGAGGCACAGAATAATTCAAATTGCTTAGAATATCTGTACTGGTTGGTTAGGACTTGGGACTAAATAATTTCAAATTTTTGTTTTTACAATTCTTCATATTTATTTAAAAGAGATTATCAAAGGAAGCTTTAATATCAGACTTTATTATAGTTGCAAAAAGAATTTATTTACAGATTACTAGTTACCATGAGCACTATTCATTTACTTGCCATTATATTTTATCATTGGATAATTTTTTTGTTGTAGGTCAGATTTACTTAAAGAGTTGGTCAAGGATTGATATTTTATAATTGTTGAGTTCCTTGAGAGCAACCTTCATATTTCTTTTACGATCACGAGCTCAATCAATTATTGGTAAATGACCAACTTGCTTATTTTCGTATTCCAAAAAGTAATTAATTGATTGATCCATAATAAAATTTTAATTTTAAGGGCATTCAAAAAACTATTATTAATTAACCCTCATATCAAAGATTATTTTGTGCCAAAATGATGATCATATCCCGGAATGCATTAGATCATTGACAATCATATCTTAAAATGAAAAATTATGAAAAATTGTTCGTTTTTATGGATTAGTTAGTGCATTTTTATGGGTTAGATTTTGCATTTGATCTAACCATAAGTCCAAATTTGGATGAAAAAGTCTCAGATAATTTTATATATATGTATAGCGAAGCTAACGTTTGGTCGGCAGTGGGATTTAGATCGTCTCGTAGAGCAATTAATTCTTATCCCCCCCACAACTATTTAGTAACTAGTTAGCTAGAGCTTTATTTTTGTAACTCGCGTTTTGTATCTTTATTCTAAAATTAATAAATATATGAGTTGAACCTTAAAAAAAAAAAAAAAAAAAAAAAAAAAAAAAA